AACGAAGTTTCTTCGATTGCCACCCCTGCGAAAAATAGACAGTGAATTATTTTAGAAGTGAAGGATTAAATAAAACAAACAAATCAAACCTACCTTCAATAATTGGACGAATATTTCTGGCATTATTACTGGACAGCTTCCTCGTTGCAAGCAGCGCCTCTTTCTTAAGTGCAGCATCAGAACGAGAACGGGCTAATTTTGCTTCTCTGGCTAAAAAGTAATCAACCGTTCAATTTAAGTCTAAACGTTAATTAATGAGGATAAGAAAAGAGAGATACCTTCTCGCGTCAAGCGCGTTGGTGAGGATGGTAACGTGGCAAAGATCTTCTGCAGTAAGATCACAATCATCTCAAATGAAGGCCTCTCCAAAGGATCCATCTGCATGAGAATACTTGTGAATTACGGACAGTTGTAGCATTAAACCTCAACTTACAACACACGAGTGAAATGCTAGTTTCAAAAATGCTATGGGCGTATCCAAAGGGCAGCACGGAGTGAAACGAACATAATCTAGACCAAAACTGCTTGTCCTATGCAGACCACTGTCGGGATCTGCGTCGATTCTTGCAATCAGCTGACACAAAATCACTCCAAATGAGAACACGTCAGACTAGAAAAAAAGGGATTGTGAGATGAGCACGCAAACAATATGAGTGGGTCAGCAAAGAAAAATTTCCAAAAAAATTATTCTTTTCCCTAACTCGGTTGATGCACTCATAAAAAATAACGATATAAGGGTGTTTAATGAATGGGTATCCCACAAATAAGGCTGAGAAGCATTATGGAACTATGATAACTTTGCAATTGACTTAATAACAGCAAAACAGAGTAAAATACTTTCCTCACCTTCTCATCATAGTACTCCTCCTTGAGACACTCCGGGCTCATAAAATAGGTTGTACCCACTTGTGGTAATTTTTCTCCTCGCTTTGGAAAACGGCAAGATAGACCGAAGTCCGCAACAACAGCTCGACCCCATTTCGATGATTCTCGAGTCAATTGGAGAAGAACATTCTGAACATTAACTTCATAATATTAAACTTGGTGTAAGCTTAAAGCTTGAGAAGAAAATGTTACCATGCTTGTGAGATCGCGATGAATGATACGTTGGGAGTGAAGATACTGCATCGCCAGAGAGATGTCCAAAGCATAACGCACTCTCTGACTCCATGGAAAAGCAGCTACTCGATCAAGGATGAGTCGAGCTAAGCTTCCACCTTCACAATAATCAACAAGAAGATGCATATCCCAACAGCCTGAAAGTACCAAAAATTAGTAAATAAATTTGAAAAAAGCAAGAAAAACCAACGCTCACCGTCATCGTTGACTTGGATACAAACTCCACGTAGACGAAGAATGTTCTCGTGAGATAGGCGATGAAGCATAGCTGCTTCGCGAGCTGCATCAGCGTGAATAGCTCTGCGACTCCCTGCAGAGCCCGTTCCTTTCGCAACTTTGAGCACCATTTCCTCACCAGATGCTTGCAATCGCACCTGAAATGTATTTAAATTAATGAGAAACTGTTAGGGAAAATGTTTGGAAAAGCATTCTCCGCTGCTTTGTAAACTCAAAAATCAAGTTCTTTGAGACTATCTTAAAGCATTCAATGTGTTTTACCTTCCAAACAATCAATGATATTCAAATAATACTGTAATATCAGCGTAGATAAATCACATCAACTCAAATAAAAGCCATAGAGATGACCTCTCATAATGATTCCAATACAAGTGGTGACAGTACTGATTGTACGCAAAACAAGATACCTTCGATACTTTGCTGAAAAATCCTTCACCGAGCATTTCCAATACATCAAAATCGTCTAACGAATAGAAATTGCCAAATATGGTGGTTACAGGATGGGGTGACAACTGAAATGTCAACTGCAGTTAAGACAACCAAAGTGAAATTAGTGGAAAATAATGTTCTGGAAAATCCATCAAAATAACAATAAAATAAGTAGTCAAACAACTAATAGTTCCCTTCGCCACGCAATGCCAAATATCTGTTAACTAGGGGTGTTTTTAAGAAACGTTCAAAATGATCTCAAGATGTTCAGAAATGTTTCAAAATGCAGGCAAAGGTATTATCTGTTTCAGATCGCTGAGCAGGTTACCGATTCGCAGGGGCCAGGCAAAAATGTAGTTGTGGTAAGAGCAAAAAAAGTCCTTTTCCCAAAAAAAGCTACGAAAAAGGTACTGCTAGTCAAAGTATCTGTTCTAAAAAGCAGCGGAAAAGAATACTGCTGAGAGCATCACAACTGCAGCATACATAGTG